CTTGTCCCTAAATTCTAATTCTCTAGCAGACAGTGCCTTCTAGCGGACACACTAACACAAGACCCACTACGCAGGCCCGTTGTTTAATACACAAGTTCAGGCATTAGGGCTTTCATGAGCCACATGCTGCTCTGAAATGTGGGTATTACACAAGGCGCTCCAGCTTTGCCTGCAGTTAGGAAAATTAATGGGAGACACAAATCCCTTCCTGAGCTCTCAGCCTTGCCATGTTGTGAAAGCACTTGTTGCTTACTAAGACTATTTTTTTTTTTTGGGTCTGATATAGACTTATCAAACTAGGCCATTAGGAAAAGAAAGCACAGAGATAAAAAAAATTGATGTCACACCATCACAGGTAACTGAGAACGGTCAAGCAGGTATGAAAAGGGCCTCTAGCACTGATTTGCTAGAGACTTGCCACATTTCTGTGGCGTCTCTATTTATAAAGCTGATGTACTTAGACGCAGATTTAACAACTTCTCAGGTTTACAAAGTTTGAAACTGGGTGCACACGTACAATACACAGTGCTGGCTGGCGAGGTTAAACTGGGTTAAAAAGAGCAAAAGGCTGCTCGGCTGCAGGGCCGCATTCACATCAGCCAGGGAAAAGGGGAGTTGAGCACTGGGAAACAGGGGCTCAGGGCAGCACAAGAGGCTGAACTGCAGCCAAACCCCCTCTTCACAACCCCTTCGCTCTAAGGAGTGTGCTTTCAAGATAGGAAGCAACTAAAAAAAACAAAATCAAAGAACACTACAATAGTCATGTACCCAAGGCCCCAAAGTGCAAACCCCATCCAGCTTTGCAAACAGATTGATTTTGCAACAACTACGTTCCCTTATGAAGTACCAGCGAGATAAACTTCAAGGTTTATCATCAGCATCTTTCAGAAGAAAGTGTATGGATTTCTTTCTTGCTCCACAAAGCAGGGAGAGGTTTGTTTGCTTGCTTGCTTTAAATGAAAATGACTGGTGGCCAAAGATAAAACAACTGCAACACTTGCCTGCCCTAATTCATGCATAGACACACAGGGTCAGGCCTCAGGCATGTTATCTTTTTAAAACATACCTAGTTCCAGTAGGTAAAGGACTCTGATTTTTTAATATAATATTGGAAAAAAGTCCAAACAAGAAACCTACCACTTCAGTCCAGCCAGCTCTCCTGCTACTAGCACAAAGTACATTATAATGAGGCCAAATCTGTTGAAAAAAATTAATGGGACTGCAAATGTTAAAAT